TGGCAAAAATAATTCCACATATTATTCAACAATAAATACATATACACCAATTCTGAAAGGGAAACATATTATCGTTAAGTACATTTTAATTACACATATATACAAACCTTTGACCTATGGAATCCTAGATAAGGCGTCCGCAACTATATTTCGTTTACCTGAAACATTTTTAATCTCAAATGCAAAATCCTGTAAACACAAACTCCATCTTAACAATTTGTTATTTGTACCTTTTACATTATCTAATTTTTTCTCAAAACAAAATAGGTCTGTCCTCACCCTCTACATCTAACTGGGTTCTGTACAAAAACCATGGGTGAAGCCCAAGAGCTACTTAATGGAACAATAATACCTGGATCCCACATTTCTCTAATCTCTTTTTCAATACATTCATTAATTCTCCCCGTGACCCTGTAGGGTGGAGATACTATGGGAGTTGCATCACCGGTGTTTATTCGATGCTGGACTCCTTGGACCTTTCCTGGCAAATCTGAAAATATGTCTCTATATTTACTTAAAACTTCTACAACCTCTCTATGCTGTGGTTGGGACAATTCTATGTTCATATCTACCCGATCTAAATTTTTGTACTGTTCACGATCACCCTCCCAAAAAGAAAAGGGACCGGATTCCTCTTCCGAAACAACAAAACATACATTCACAGACCTTACAACATAAGGCTTTAACATGTTTACATGGACTCTTCTTTCTACATTGGAATGTTCATCAAAAATATCATAGTTTATCTGGCTGTGCTTTCTGATGATCTTCCAGGGTCCAGACCAATCCAATTGAAGTTTGTTGGTTTTGCTGGGAGACAAAAACAAAACTTCATCTCCGATGTTGAAAATCTTTGGTTTAGCAGTAGAGTCATAATAGTCTTTTTGTCTCTGCTGAGCCGCAAGCAAATGTTCTTGAGCAATGTCTCTAGCTAGCTGCATTGTTGCTTGAAGATCCTTTAAATACTCCGTCACTGGAACTGGATCTGTCGCCGGACTTTCTTCCCAATATTCTCTTATCAAGTCTAACGGACCACGAGCTTTCCTTCCATATAACAATTCAAATGGACTGTAGCCAGTGCTGTCATGAGGGACGGTCCTGTAGGCGAATAACAATTGTTGCAATTTGACATCCCAGTCGTATGGTTTCTCTTGACTATAAGACTTTATCATTTTGACTAAAGTCTTGTTCATATTTTCAACCAGTCCATTTGTCTGTGGATGATATGCCGTTGAAGTCAGGTGTCTAATTCCACATAACTCAAGCAATTTCGACATAAGCCTGGAAGTAAACTGGGTTCCCAAATCCGTAACCAATTCTCTAGGATAACCAGTTCTTCCCCAAATAGATAACAGGGCATTTGCAATTGTTGTTGTTTCGATGTTAGTCAGAGCTACAGCTTCTGGGTATCTTGTGGCGTAGTCAATCATGGTTAAGATGTATCGGTAACCACGTCTACTTGGTTTACAAAGAGGACCCACTATATCAATGCCTACTCTGTAAAATGGTTCTCCAATTATTGGCATAGGAATCATACGAGCTTTAACTTTATCCCTTCCAGTACTCAATCTCTGGCAGATGTCACAAGATTGGCAAAATTCTTTGATCCTCTGGAACATTCCAGGCCAATAAAAATTCTTAGTGATCCTCCTCGTGGTTTTCCTCACACCCAAATGTCCACCTTGAGGGTTCTCATGTGCCACCCTCATCAGCTGCTCTCTAAAACCTTGAGGTACTACAATTTGACTATATGCCACTGATCCTTCTGTCGAGTTTACCCCTCTGGTTTCTCTATATAAGACACCATTTTTCAGCACAAACTCGGAGGGCTGTTCTCTCGCCGATACTGTGGGGTTTTGAGCCAAAGCAAACAGAGGTTTAAGAGAATCATCGGCTCCTTGTTCCTGCCGAATCTCTTCAACTCCTCCTGTCTTCTTAACAAGCTCAGCAACTGTAGCACTGGATTCCGGACTCTCATCCTCATCTTGTTGTATGGCAAAACACAGGGCTTTTTGTTCAGGGCTCTCGTTGTTACATTCTTTCTCCTCACACACCATCCCCCAGCTCTCAATCTTCTCAGCCAAATCATTTCCAATTAAACAATCGTATGGTATGTCAGGACTAACTGCAAAGTCCCACATACCCTTCCATCCTTCATATTCTATTGGCAAAGTCACCACTGCTGTTGGTATCGCAGGTCCTAAACCTTTTAATTTTATTTCAGAGGTTGGCTGCTGAAATTTCTGAGGGATTATTTCGGGATGCACTACACATATTTCGGAACCTGTGTCTCTGAGTCCTTTCCTGTCTTTGTTATCAATACTGATGGTTTCTAAGTAGTCCTTAAATGGGCTGCCTGACAAGATGAACAAACATTGTTTCTCTTGAGGCTCTGAGCCTGAGCTCTTCTTTGAAACAGTATCTAGTTCTGCCTGTGGTGTTTCCTTCATTTTATTCACAAAAAGGGTTGTTTTCTCCTTCCTTAACAGGGGACATTGATACTTTATATGATCCAATTTTCCACATTGAAAGCACCGTCTTTTTACCTCAGGAGCAGTTTGTCTTGTTACACTCTGCCCCCTATAGATGGTGTTTTCTAAGTCAGACCCCTTTTCTGGCTGTAGGCGCGTTTGTTGTGGATAAAATGGCTGCCTGTTTGTTCTTTTGTCACCTGGCAGATCTTCTCTCTTAAATCCTTCTTTTAAGGTTGTTATTTGATCTGCCATACCCGCTGCCTCTACAATTGTGGATGGCTTGCGATCCTGAATCACCCAACGAATATCATAAGGCACTAGTTGGAAAAACTGCTCCAGCTTCAAAAGTTCCCTCAGCTGTTGATAATCTTCCACCTCAGATGTCCTTATCCAACTATCGAACAGTTGAGACAATCTTGAGGCCACCTGAGCAAAACTTTGAGTTTTATCTTTCTTTAATGTCCTGAACTTAAATCTATAATATTCAGGAGTCAATCTAAATTCTTGTTGAATCTGTTTCTTAAACAGATCATAGTCTCCATAAGAATCCTCAGACATCTGTCCATAAATCTGCAAAAGTTTCCCACTTATCTGAGGCCTTAGGTATGTCATCCATTTTTCCTTAGCCACTCCAAAATCTCGACAACATCTCTCAAAAGATATTAGGAATTTCTCTGGGTCATCGTCTTTGGTAAATTTTGGGAATTTCTTCGTCAAATCTGGGGTATCTCCTCCAGATCTCCCTTCCTGGATATCCCTGGATGTTTGAGACAAAGCCAATCTTTGTTTCTCTAGCTCAAACTCCATTCTCTTCAATTCTAACTCCTGTTCCAATTCTCTCACTCTCTGTCTTTCTTCAAACTCTCTCTGTTTTTCCTCCATCTCCAATCGTTTCATCTCTAGTTTATACTTATAAGCCATTTCTGAGAAAGGCATCGGCTCGGTCTCTGTCTCAGAGCTCGAACTTTCTTCTTGGTCTCCCTCTCTTTCCTCAGCCAGCTTTTTCTGTCGCCTGGTAGCCATCTTTCAGCAACTTTTACCTCACAACTTATTTCAAAATTAACTTAAAGCACTCGATCAGTTGTTACACGAATCCCGTCATCTGCCACCAAAAATGTAAGGAAGCGTAATCCCACCTAAATGGGATTACCAAAATTACGTAAATATGTATGTTAATCCACCTAATTTCAGCATAAATTATAAGGAAGTCCCAAAACTGCTTGATTACACCGCCACCATTATATATATAGAGACGTTGGAATTGAAGTCTCTGTTTATCCCTATCTGCGTTGTTAGGCAACTTTGGTAGAGTGGATTGCACCAAATGTAAAATCAATGGAGGAGGCAGATTTATAACACAGAGAGAACAAGTTTATTGTTAACAGAGCGTAATTGTTGCAATACTAAGATGTTGAACTTGGCACAAGCTTGATGGTTACAATATGGCTTGGTAGAGATACATTCAGGCTTCTGATGTTACAATCCTTTAAACTCCTTCTTCAGTGAAGTACTTTATTATTTCAGTGTTCCCTGTTGTGAATATTCACTCTGTTTGTCCTATACCGGATCAAACCACCGATCTCCAGTCTTTCACTACTGGGATCCCTAAAACCCCCTTTGTTAGATTCTTTTTAACACAAGCAATCTAACAAGGTTTCACCTTCAGCTCCCTTGCTGAAGAAATATTCACAAATGCTAAGAACTAACTGAATTTATACTGCTTCACCACACAGAGCCCTAACTGACTCCGCTCCTCTTCTCAGGGTCTCATCCTCCTGACTGACTATTAACTGTTACTTTCAAACCTTTTTCTCCTTAAGCTCCGCCCACCTTCTCTTCTGCCTTGTCACCATGGCAACCTATCTCTCACAGCTAGGCCATGGCCACGCATGTAAAACATAAATACAGTTTAAACACAGTACAATAAACCCTTTATAATAAACACTTCTCTACACTATTCTACAAGTTTGTGGAGATAGCAAAGGAAAATCAGTAGAAACTACCTCTTAATTTCTCTTTCCCTGGATCTCAATCACCACTATAATATGAAGAGCTGTTCTGTGTGTAGAATAGGATTTGCACAAGTAACCCCAAAACTGTAACATTAAACACAAGCAACAGAACAATGATCCATGCAAGGACTAACCTTCCACTTTTGTAATCAAGTTACAAGCCAGGTTTAAGGTACGCAGGCCTGTAAGGGAGCTTAGTCCTTCGATGCAGGAAATGCGGTTGGATGAGAGATCCAGGTGCTGCAAGTTCACTAAGTGGTCAAGCCTTTCAATCCTGGAGATCTGGTTACAGTGCAGGTTGAGCGTGTGGAGCTTCAGATGTAAAGATAATTCTGCTAAACTACAAATGAAAAACAAGCAACATTAGGACATATTCCATTTGAAGCATCATAGTCATCAGAAGCATCTATATAGCACTTGTCAAGCATTCAAAGCATGCAGTGACCAATACCAACATTGCTGGAAATCAATAGTAGAAAACTGTTTAAAGTGCAAAGGCCAAGAGTGAATACTGTAAAAATATAATGCAGAGAAAACTGGCAAAAGAAGGCTCTCCATGGACAGTTCCTGAAAAAAATTGAAAGCAAAATTGACAAGGAAAAAACATGGATACGGCTCACAAATGAAACTTTGAAAAAGAAGACAGAGGGACTGATTCTTGCAGCCCAAGAACAAACAATTACAATAAATGCCATCAAAGTCAGAATTGAAAAGTCAACGACAGATCCCAAGTGTAGACTTCGCAAGGAAGCAGACGAAATGACGGATAACATAATGTATTATGATGCTATTATGTTTACTATATTTGTGTTGAATTTTCTGCTGTTAGCCGGCCTGAGTCCCTCTTCAGATGTCGAGAAGACCGGGTTATAAAAGCTCTAAATAAATAAAATAATAATAAATAAATACTCAACTGCTGCAAGAAGATTGCACAGACGGACTACAAGCAGTGGCATAATGCCGTTGCGCTGATGATCCATTGGAATTTGTGCCACAAAGGTCATCTGCTTGTGACAAAGAACTAGTGGGATCACAAGCCAGAAAAAGTTACAGAAAATGAACACATCAAACTACTATGGGACTTCCAAATTCGGACTGACTTTTATTTCCTGTGCTTTCCTATGACTGAAATAAATTATTTGATTTAATTTGATTTGATTAGACTGACAAGAGTTTTGGAACACAATACCCCTGACCTCACGATCATGGGGGGGGGGGGGGGAACGAAGTGTGGATCATCGATGTTGCAATTTCAGGTGACAGCAGAATGGACCAGAAGCAATTAGAAAAGCTTACACGATACAAGGATTTAAAGATCGAACTGCAAATAATCTGGCACAAGACAGTAAAGGTGGTTCCAGTAGTGATCAGCATACTGGGTGCAGTGCCTAAAGACCTTGGCCTGCACTTAAAAACAGTCTGTGTTGACAAAATTACCATCTGTCAGATGCAAAAGGCCATCCTACTCAAATCTGAATGCATTATTCGCCGATACATCACATAGTCCTAGACACTTGGGAAGTATCCAATGTGTTATCTTGTTTGCTGTGTGCTAATCTTGTTGTGTATCAAATAATAATAATGGAAGAAAGGAGGGAGAAATGCAAAACCTGTCCCCATCCCAGAATTGGAAATAATATTTATTTATTTATTTACTACATTTATACCCCGCCCTTTCTCACCCGAAGGGGACTTACAATAATAATAATTCCAGAATCATAAATGTCAAAACTGTATATATTGAGGAAGTGTGCAAAATTAAAAAAAATCCATAAGTATAAACTGTCAGAGCTGTATATATTGGGGAAGGTTGCAAAAATGATAAATAAATGATATTTATTTATTTACTACATTTATACCCCACCCTCTCTCACCCCGAAGGGACTCACAATAATAATAATAATAATAATAATAATAATAATAATAATGATTCCAAAATCATAAATGTCAAAACTGCGTATGTTGAGGAAGTGTGCAAAACGAAACAAAACAAAACCCCTAAGTAGTAGTAGTAATTTTATTGATTAGCCCTTAGGCCATATCACAATAAGAAACAGAACAACAAGGCCTGACAAGACCTGATCACACTCCACAAAGAAAGTTAAAATAATACACTTATAATAATACAGTAAATACATATGATAAGACATGATAAAACTGATAAACTGATCAAACTGAGAATATACATCATATTTCATTATCACCCCTAAGTATAAACTGTCAAAGCTGTATACATTTGGGAAGGTTGCAAATATAAATATAAATATACATAATTAAATTGAATAAATACAAATAAAAATGGTAATAATAAACTGTTAAATCTATATATTTTGGAGAAGAATGCAACAATAAATATAATAATGATACATATACATATATATGAATAATAAAATAAAATAAAAGACACAGAATTATAAAGTCAGAACAGTATATATTATGGAAGGATGTATAATTATTATTATTAATAATAATAATAATAAATTGCCATAGCTGAGGAAGGCTGCAAATAAATAACATAAATCCAGAATTATAAACTGTGAAAGCTATACACATTTTTGAGTCGCCCTGCACGTTTCAAATGCTCCTTGAACCTTTTTAAAAAGCAGCCCTTGCAAGGCATGATCAGCCACCTTTTGATGCCTTTGTCCATAAGGCTGAGCTCCTCTCCCCTAAGATCCGCCATGCGCCCCCACTTCCGGCTCCCAACCGCAGCCGCCGGGCTTGCCGCCTTCCACTTTAAACCCCTCCCTCCCCTCCGCTATCGGCTTCCACCAAGGCAACGGCGGCGCGGTGCGTGACGGGAGGAGGAGGACCAATCAGAACGCGCCCTCAAAGACTCAGAAACCTTAAAGAGAGGCGGGGATCCTTTTCGTTTTGCATCTTTTGGACTTCAACTCCCAGAAGCCTCGCCCAGCTCGGCCAATGACTAGGAATTCTGGGAGATGAAGTTCAAAAGAACCAGGACACTACAGTACACCTGAATAGAGGCGAATGTACCCAGATGAATTCTAGGGTTTGTAGTTTAGTGAGGCGCAAGCGCTCTCTGGATGAGAATTCTAAATGCCCCCCTTTAAACTACAAGTACCAGCATGCATTGCTGTGGCAGTTAAAGTGGAACTATCCTCCCCTTGAAGACCATAGAGCTAGAAAGAGTAGAACAATGCAGTTTTGTAGAACAATTACAATGTTTACAATGCAGTTTTGTAGAATGCAATTTCTTGGTAGGAATAGCACTTGATACTCAGGTGTCGGCGATGGCCAGGAGGGCCTTTGCACAATTAAAACTCGTGCACCAGCAGCAACCATACCTTGTGAAGTCTGACTTGGCCAGGGTGGTCCACGCCTTGGTTACATCCAGATTGGACTACTACAACGCACTCTACGTGGGGCTGCCCTTGAAGACGGCCCGGAAATTCCATCTAGTACAATGGGCGGCAGCCAGGCTCCTAACCGGAGCTAACTATAGGAAACGTACAACGCCCCTATTGAAACAGTTACACTTGGCTGCCCATAAGTTGCCGAGCCAAATTCAAAAGTGCAGGTGATGACCTATAAAGTCCTAAACGGTTCAGGCCCTACCTATCTCCGCAATCGCATCTCCCTCTATGAACCGGTACGGACACTTAAGATCCACCGGGAGGCCTTCCTCTCGCTCCCACCACTGTCTCAAGCCCGGTTGGTGGGGATGAGGGGGAGGGCCTTCTCGGTGGTGGCCCCCTGCCTCTGGAATGCCCTCCTCAAGGAGATAAGGCTGGCCCCATCCCTCAACTCCTTCCATAAGAACTTTTGCCAGGCCTTCGACAATGACTAGCCTCAAGTCTCAAACCCTTGGCTCAACAGTTAGGACCATTCTCCAGTTCCCTGCCATCCGAGGGCACCTTTTCTTCCGGTCCAGACCTTTATTGTTGTTGTTGTTGTTGATTCGTTCAGCGTTTCCGACTCTTTGTGACCTCATGGACCAGCCCAAGCCAGAGCTCCCTGTCGGCCGTCATCATCCCCAGCTCCTAAAAGGTCAAGCCAGTCACTTCAAGGATGCCATCCATCCATCTTGCCCTTGGTCAACCCCTCTTCCTTTTTCCTTCCATTTTCCCCAGCATAATTGTCTTCTCGTGATGTGGCCAAAGTACTTTTTTATAGTCCTTTAATTGGCCCTGGAATTGAGTGGCCCCGGTCCCCTAGTAGGGCCATTGCTGAGACAGATCCTTGTACTTTAGCATTCAGCCAGCTCCATTTTTCACTTCTCCTTGCATTAGCCTTGGCCCAGCCTGTTCCAAATAGTCCAGGCCCCTTATTGAAATCTTTGCCTCTAGCAGCTTATCTTGCATTAAGAAGAGAACGGAACTGGTTTTAAATTGAATTTAATGTATATTTTGTTTTAACAGTTTATGCCTATGTTTTTGTTTTGTTTTCTCCTTTAAAAGAGGTAAGAATGGCAGAACAGAGCCTTCTTGATGGCGGCTCCCAGACGTGGGAGCGAGAATGGCCCTGTCCTTGTCCTCTTTCCATTAACAAGGTAAGATGTAGGAACGTCAACCCTTGGGAGCTGGAACGGCCCCGTCCTTTATATCATCAGGTGGCTTTTATACAGGTTAAAAACAATGCCGATTAAATCTACACAAAAAGCTCAAATCTTAAAGCTGCAAGTCGCTTTATCACAGGATGTCTACACCCACACCTTGGGGGATATTATACTGTTTAGCCAGTATTGCACCATCTGACATCTGCCGGGAAGTAGCAGCCTACAGTGAAGTATAGGACTTTACAATCATCAACAGTACTTTGAATTGTTCCTAGAAATGGACCAGCAACCAGTGGAGTTGTTACAACAATGGATGACACCTTAAATAGTCTTGCATTACAACTTCTCAGTTGCTGTTCTCAGATTTGTACAGCCTGAAAATCCATTTTCATGAAATACATTTGAGACTTCAACAGCTAGCTTGGAAGTGCTACTTCTGATTAAATATGGATAGGACTTTTCTGTACTCTGGTTCTACCATGTGTCCTACATATGTTTACTTAGAGATGAATCCCATTGTGTTCAGTGGGGATAAGATACACACTTGCCTGAATATAAATTCCATTGAATTCAGCAGAACTTCTCTCTGAGTAAATATTCATAGGATGGTGCTATAAAGGCAGAAAAAAGGCCATAAGAAAACACTTCAAAGACAAATGGTTTTTAAATCACCAGGGAACATAATATTGCAACAGATGGTATTTCTAGGCTTGTTTTGGTCTGTTTTCCCCCAAACAGGACAGATGAAGTCCTTGATGTATTGCTAAGATCTAAGGAAAACTGAAGCTAAATTAATAAGGAATCAGTAAAGTTTGATGACCATATGTCATGTGAAATGGATAATCTGGGGAAAATTATAGGAAGCATGTCTATTTGATTAATCAGATATTTCTTATCTGCTGGCAGATTTAGGTAAATTATGCATAGAAAAAATATAACATTTTCATTGTATCAATAGCTTTTACTGTGTTTCTCAATATTTGGTGAAACATTGATGTTTGGTTGAAGTAAATTATCACAAATATTATCTCAAATATATTCCCTTCCACTTTTTATTGTGGTGAATAATAATAATAATAATAATAATAATAATAATAATAATAATATAAAGTAAAATTAAGGCAAAGTGTTTTTGTTTTGTTTTTTGTCGTGTCAGGAGCGACTTGAGAAACTGCAAGTCACTTCTGGTGTGAGAGAATTGGCCGTCTGCAAGGATGTTGCCCAGGGGACCCCCGGATGTTTTGATGTTTTGCCATCCTTCTGGGAGGCTTCTCTCATGTTCCCACATGGAGAACTGGAGCTCATCTGCCACTCCCCAGATTCGAACCTGCGACGTGTCAGTCTTCAGTCCTGCTGGCACGGGGGTTTAACCCACTGTGCCACCAGGGGCTCCAGGTAAAAGTTTACCCCTGGCATTAAGTCTAGTCATGTCCGACTCTGGGAGTTGTTGCTCATCTCCATTTCTAAGCCGAAGAGTTGGCGTTGTCTGTAGACACCTCCAAGGTCAAGTGGCTAGCATGACTGTATGGATCACTGTTACCTTTCCGCTGAAGCGGTTCCTATTGATCTACTCACATTTGCATGTTTTCAGCCTGCTAGGTTAGCAGAAGCTGGGAGCTAACTGCAGGAGCTCACGCCGCTCCCCAGATTAAATCTGCGACTTTTCGGTCAGCAAGTTTAGCAGCTCAGTGCTTTAACCCAATGCACCACCGGGGGCTCCGATAATAATATAATAATAGTTTATTTGTATTTCTCTCTGACTCACCCAGGGGACTCAGGGCCGATTCCAGCTTAAACAACACAAAGGCAAACATTCAATGCCTAGAAACAATGAAACATAGATAAAGGGAAAGGCTCCCCCTTCTGGCTCTTAGGGGTGGTGTTCATCTACGGCTTGGGGTGGTGCTCATCTCAATTTTTAAGCCGAAGAGCATGCATTGTCCATAGACACTTCCTAGGTCATGTGGCCAGCATGACTGCATGGAGAGTCATTTATATTCCCACCGAGGCTGTACCTATTGATCTACTCAAATTTACATGTTTTCGAACTGCTAGGTTGGCAGAAGCTGGGGCTAACAGTTGGAGCTCATCCCATCCCACGATTTCAAACTGCCAAACTTCCCATCAGCAAATTCAACAGCTCAGCGGTTTAACCCTTTGCGAACTCTATAATAATTTAAAATATCTAGATGCCAAGCATTAACCTAAAACAATATATTGTTATTTTACCATTTCCCCAGTCCACAGTCAAAGGTGGTGGAAGTTGCAGCTTGTATCATGAGCCACGTATCATTTCTCTCCTATGAATGGCTGCTGTAAGTTGTAAGAATTTGAATCTAATGACATGGGACCCAAGCTTCCTTAAGCATCCATTAGGAAGCTTTGTTCTGAGACTGAACATGTTAGAATCTACTAAATCTAGAAAATACTTTGATACAGAACTTCGTTCTGAAATAAAGAGAAAGCAGGCACAAACTCTTCTTCCTGTAAATTCTATTATGTGTTTATTTATTATTTATCTTACCCAGAAGAAACTTCTAAGAATTCAAATTACCACGGAAAAGAGAAACAATATTTCTTAACAACGAAGAATTGCTTTTCATAAGCATCTGATTTATAATATAGAAGAAGGGGTTTGTTTTTACAAGGCATAAGATCTGGGCAGTGTAGTCGAGTGAATAGAAAAGATATTTTGTGCCTAGGAAACAAGGCTGAGACATTCTGCTTTCTGAGTTATAGCTGAGCATGGAGCCATTCAGGCCCCTTCCACACAGCTGAATAAAATCCCATATTTTCTGTTTTGAACTGCAATATATGGCAATGTCAGATAGCCCAATTCAAAGCAGATATTGTGGGATTTTTCTGCCTTGATATTCTGGGTTATATAGCTGTGTGGAAGGGCCCTCAGAGAAAGATCTGCAAGCCACTTTAAACACTTTCATGGAAAGTTTGTCCTCTCATTTAACATCAAGGAAACTAAAGTGTTTGACCAGCAGGCACCAACCAATCCCTCTGCTATGTCAGAAATAAAGCTTAATGATGTAAAACTAGAAAAATTGACTAGATCAAGAATAGGCTTCACAGTCACCTATGGACCCACCGCCAGTACATTGATCTTGGAAGACTATCCTACTCGGAGAACAAGGGATCGCCTAAGTAAGTAAGTAAGTAAGTACGTAAGAAAAATTGACCATTTTCGCTACCAAGGTAGCCAACAAAAGTTAACACTTTCAACTTCTGGAAAATTCTACAAATCTCTTGGGAAGACAGGCTGACAAACATCAGCGTTCTGGAGGAAGCAAAGACCACCAGCATTGCCATGATTCTCCACCTTGTGGACTTTTTTCCCAACTCAAGAATGAAAAACAGAATGTTGGTCAACAACAAAAGAGATTTAAAGATGGTCTTAATGAAAACCTAAACAAATGTGCTACAAACACCGAGAACTAGGAAGTGCTAGCACTTGAATGTTGTCATTGGTGATCAGTTGGTACCCATGATGCTATGGATTTTGAAGAGGTACAAAAACATCCCAAGAGGAAGGTGCATCAAGCAAACCATTGTTGGGACCTCCTTCCATCTGGAAATCTATGTCCTCATTGTGAAAGACTATGCAAATCCAAAATAGGTCTCTGCAGTCACTTACAGACCCACCATCAAGACTCTACCTCGAAGACAATAATTCTCGGGCACGAGTGGTACCTATGATGAGCATGGACCCCCGCCTTCAGAACTCAGAGCTACAGAACTTGGTGCAAAAACTCCAGCTAATCTCTCCCTATCCATGGAAGTAAAAGTAGAATAATAATAATAAATAACCAACTATTCCCTTCCTCTCACGATGAATCAAATTCGCTGCCTCACATTGCTTAATAGTAGATGCAGTGCTTACATTGGCTTTGCACAGTACAAATATCCAGCAATGCTGTGCTCACATGACACAATACCTATACCAAATTCCACCAAAGCACAAAATATGAAAAGCAGTAAATGGGCGCGGAGGTAGGTACATAACCTCATTGCACAATGCACAATACACAGAGATAGTGCTCAATGCAATTTAGGTGCATTGTTGTGCATCTGCAGTGGTTTCACATGCAGTCATCCATTCCTGTCTCTATCAGCTGGACATATCTGTTCTGCATTCTCCAAAAAGCTTGTTACATGAGAAAAACAGCCCCAGGCCCTTGGGATGTCTAGTTTACATGGGCCAGGCCATTGCCCACTGAAGTTTCTCCCTCTCTTTCCCCTTTCTAGCGCCCGTTGGAGCACTTCTTTAGACTTCACACAAATCTACAATTTGCCAGGTAGGTAGAAATCAGAGAATAGTCAGATATAAATAGTAGCCTAATGGAACTCAACAGTTAAGTGGGCCTTCTTAATCTAAGTAAATATCCTGAAGTATCAGTAAATAGATTGAAGTAAACAAGCTCAAGTGAGTTTAGTGACAGGCATTCCCAGGTAGTTAAGCACAAGGCTGCAGCTTCAGTTTGGTCACACATATTTGAATACTTGGACAGGTTCTTGAAAGCATGTGGTTAATCATCAGCTTGGTTCTTGTGAAATCTGAAAGGATACTTGTCTGAAATGACCTTGTAAATCATTCAAGTATTGTTTCCCTTCATCCAGGGGAAAGGGTATGGGGAGAAAGATATTAAAATCCTCAGGTTACTTATTATTCTCTGTGAAAAACCACAGAAGTGAACAACAAACATGGAGAAAGATGAATGTGGGAAACCGGTAGAAAAAATGAATGAAACTAGCAAGATACAGCTCAAAAGAACCATAGGATATTTGGAAGGTGTTAGCTTTGTAGTGGGGACGATTGTAGGGGCAGGGATTTTTGTCTCTCCTACTGGGGTGCTGAAATATTCAGTGCTCAATGTTGGTATTGCATTGATTATCTGGACTGCTTGTGGCATCATATCTTTGATGGGTGCCCTGTGTTATGCAGAGCTTGGCACAGCTCTACCATTTTCTGGAGGCGAATACAGCCACATCAAGAGAGCCCTTGGCTCTCCTTTGGCTTTCATCTTCTTGTGGGTAGCGATGTTCAACAAACCGGCCTCAAATGCTGCCCGGGCATTACTGTTTGCTGAGTACGCCATCCAGCCTTTCTATGGTGAGTGCCTGGCTCCAGAACTGCTCAAGAAATGCTTGGCACTGGCTGTTGTCTGGTTCCTTGGGATTATCAATGGGAGAAGCGTTAAGATGGCAGCTTGGGTACAAACAGTATTTACAATCCTGAAGATGTTGGCTCTGTCTATAATTGCAATCGGTGGGATCGTCCTGTTGATAAAAGGAAGAAAAGAAAACCTGGCAAGGTTTGAGAACGCCTTCAATGCAGATATTCCTGATGTTGCACAACTGGCCGAAGCATTTTTCCAAGGACTGTATGCATACGGGGGCTGGTGGTCTCTCAATTATTTGGCAGGTATCACTCTTACATTTTCTGTTAGTTAGCAACTATGTTGTCTATTATATCTTTAATTTTTGAATTTTCCCTCCCTGTGTATTGGTATAATTCCAATTTATTAACATATCCCAGTCTTGAAGCAAGGCTTTGTGGGGCTTAGGAAACAAGTGAAGGGAAATGTATGAAAGTGGGTTTCTTAAGCAGTTTCTGAAGAATTAATTCATTGTGCATGAACACAATGCACCAGCTTCTTGGCCCCTGCAGAAAATGACATCTAATTTATCTGAATCCTATTGAAATAGCAAAGCCAACGAATGCAGAAGAGTTCCATGTTAGGGTAGTTTGGAATCAGTTTGGGTCATGTGAAAGTATCTCTGTAACTTTCCACTAGCTGTGAATTTGTATGTTTTGTAACAAATGTTATGTCTTGCATGGATATATACTTTTTTCTCCTTGTCCTTTTTCTCCTCCTCTTTCTCCTCCTCCTTTTTCTTTTTTCAGCAAGATAATTCACTACAGGTTGAGTATCTCTTATCCAAAAAGCTTGAGACCAAAAGTGTTTTGGATTTTGTATAATTTTGGAATACATGCATAATTACATATCATGGATATGAGATCCGAGTCTAAAAATGAAATTCATTTATGTTTTATATACACCTTATTCGTATATAGACAGAATGTACCTATTTTAAATAATTTTATGCATGAAACAAATTTTGAGTACATCAGAAAGCAAAGACATCACTAATTAACCAACCAATATGGACACTTTTGGATTTCGGAGTATTTGGATTTCAAAATTTCAAATAAGTGGTGCTCAACCTGTACTGCTATTCTCAGAAACTATGATACAGAAAACAAATGCTTTCTACCATTTTATAAATGCATAAAATCTTCTTACGTTTTTCTCCCCGTCTAACAATTTTATTAAAGCTTTTCAAAATAAAAGGAGGAAGTTGTAAATAATGTTATTATTGTTATTTGATCCAGCTGTATTGTACAATATATGATCCAGGGGACAAAGTTCTGGTTGACTTTTGTTGGCTAGATGTACACATATTTTTAGCCAAGTTATTGAATCCAATGTATTCTTAAACAGCCCTTGTTTGTCTTGTAAAGTAGATGTATTTTGATGCCAAGATCAAGAAGCTGAGATAAGGAAAATTACATTCTTCTCATCTAGAACATTCCAAAGTGATTGTGAAAACCATTGGTGGAAAGAGTTCAGCAGTTCAAAGGAGTAGAAATGTTGTAAAAAGAATGCACAATTGTAGTCCTTCCCAATTCATTTGACTGCACTCCTCATAATCCCTCACTACTGTCTATCATGGGGAAGACATATGGGAATTGAACTCCAAGAATGCCTGGAGAATGCAATTACCCACCTTTGTGCTAAAGGAACTGAGATATGTCTTCCTACTTAGTTGATCTTAATGATGATGTATGTACCGCAGATGGTTTCAGGACTCCAGTTTATTGCTTCAGTACACATGATTTTTCAAGAAACATTGAGTACTGCCCTGGAGCTATCCTATTATCTTTCATTTCAGGAAATACCTTACAAATTAATATCTGGAATTTTCCAATTACTAGAAAAAACACCACCCCTATTAGCTTCAGATCTGTGCATTAACACACAAAAATTGGTTTGAGGTTGTTTCAGAAAATACTTGCATATTTGTGTCATATGTAACTGTCTGATACCCCATTTTAGTTTTATAGTAATTTTTCTGTTGCTGTCATCATTGCTGATCACAATGCAGTCAGCCCAGGAAGTAGATGTAGGGATAAAGAACATTTTTTCAAAAAAAAACCTCTCCTTTAAATGATAATTTAATGCTCTTATAAAATATTGTTCTCATATCCAGGACTTCTTTTGTGGAAAAAAATGTGAAATATTGCTTTTGTACAAATTGCAAAGTTTTTGAACACAACATTTTGTTTTGAGCAGAAAATTCTAAAAAGTGAAGAATTGTTGCAAGAAAGCAGTTTAGTCAGTCAAAACATCACTTCCTAACAACTGAACATTTCAACTACAGCTTTGCATGCTTTTATGATAAAGCTCCCATTTTGGGGAGAAGGGTAACATAGAAGTTAAAGATATAAATTAATAAATAATGACAGAGGAAGCATGAATAGGAAAATCAAAGTGGACGCCTCATACACCATTTAAATTCTCAGTTCTTGTGGGTTTTTTCGAGCTATATGGCCATGTTCTAGAGGCATTTCTCCTGACGTTTCGCCTGCATCTATGGCAAGCATCCTCAGAGGTGAGGTCTGCTGGAGCTGGGAAAAAAGGGGTTTATATATCTGTGGAATGACCAGGGTGAGACAAAAGGCTTTTGTAAGTTGGGCTAGGTGTGAATCTTTCAATTGACCACCTTGATTAGCATACAATGGGCTGACTGTGCCTGGAGCAAACTCTTCTTGAAGGGTGATTAGATGTCCCTGCCTGTTTTTCTCCCTGCTGTTTTTGCTGTTGCAATTTTAGAATTTTTTAATACTGGTAGCCAGATTTTGTTCATTTTCATGGTTTCTTCCTTTCTGTTGAAATTGTCCACATGTTTGTGGATTTCAATGGCTTCTCTGTGTAGTCTGACATGGTGGTTGTGAGAGTGGTCCAGCATTTTTGTGTTCTCAAATAAAATGCTGTGTCCAGGTTGGTTCATCAGGTGCTCTGCTATGGCTGATTTCTCTGGTTGGAGTAGTCTGCAGTGCCTTTCATGTTCCTGGATTCTTGTTTGGGCGCTGCTCCAACCAGAGAAATCAGCCATAGCAGACTGTGCCTGGAGCAGAAGAGTTTTCTCCAGGCACAGTCAGCCCATTGTATGCTAATCAAGGTGGTCAATTGAAAGATTCACACCTAGCCCAACTTACAAAAGCCTTTTGTCTCACCCTGGTCATTCCACAGATATATAAACCCCTTTTTTCCCAGCTCCAGCAGACCTCACCTCTGAGGAAGCTTGCCATAGATGCAGGCGAAACGTCAGGAGAAATGCCTCTAGAACATGGCCATATAGCCCGAAAAAACCCACAAGAACTGAGTGATTCCGGCCATGAAAGCCTTCGACAATACATTTAAATTCTATTTTGCAGACCCTATTGAACAATTTTAAAAAATGAGAGGTAAATCACACTAGAAATAATAAATAAGATCTACTTGAGCGTATGAGGATTCTATGCAGGTTACCAGATTCATTTCATGGAAAACAACAGAAGGAATATAACAGTGAGTCTGATAAATAGTCCTTATGTATATGACTTATATTATTTAGAAATACATATGTTGGAATGATGTCTACTTTATATATTCCAGAGGAAGTGAAAAACCCCAACAGAAACATTCCTTGGATTGTGATGACTGCAGTTCCTGCAGTAACCATATTTTATTTGCTGGTAAATATTTCGTACCTGACAGTTCTCACACCAAAGGAAATGGTTTCCTCAGGTAGGATTACTGTTTTATAATCTTGATTAAGTGAAAAAGAATGATAATACTTAGCATACAGATAATACAGACATTATGACACAAATTCAGGTAAATCAGGGTGTAAATGGAATTGTAACAGAAGTGCCATAATTTGCCTGTAGAGGACCTAGACGTTCTTAGAGAGACAAAGCAAGTGAAGTCCACAAGAGCTTAAGCCAAATAAAATATTTTAGACTATAGCAAAACTAAATTAATTACTTGTTGAAAGTAATGTATTCTAGTTGCAATTCCAGGGGCATAAGTTAATGTTATAGCTGCAATTGTTATTTTATTGCTAATTTTCCAAATGTAACTTTTAAAGCATTGCTTTTATTTACATCGAAATACTGTTAGTATTGTGGTACAATGTGTATCTTCTAAGTATAAATTTAAATTAAATGTGTATCTTCTAAGTATAAATTTAAATAAAAAGTGTTACAGTTATACTGCAAAAGAAGGAATGCTTTGCTATGCTACTATTGTAATATAAATTATACCTTGTTATTTCAGGAAGCAATTAATTTCCAGTAATGCATAATTTCTAGGGAATTACCTCCAAGAAGTAGTCTCTATGGTGCTATAAGATTCTGTTGCTCTATCTTTCATGCAGCTACTAAAAGTCACAGGATTATTCCCCTTTATAATATGGATATCCTATGTGAGATCTACTACTTTAGAATTCTGGACCTGAACCACATTTGTTCTTTTTCTCGCAAAAACACAGGTGCCTAGTTTTTAGACCAGGAACAGGCAAATGTTGACCCTCCAGGTCTTAGAAATTGTGGAAGTTGAAGTCCAAAACACCTGGAGGGCCAAAGTTTTCCTATGTCTGCTTCAGACTCTTCTCTTTTTCCAGGCACTTTCCCCCTGATCTAGAAAGACTATCGAGACATTTCTATCCACATCTAGTTCAAAATAGATATAAGAAGGAATGTGCATTCCCTGTAATTCATTCATTCCTTCCCTCCCATAGTGGGATTTTTCTCAGAGATGCATGCTTCAGTAAATTAACCCCATGCTTATCCTCCAATGGCCAATCACAAAATACAGCACACTAAATGCAAAATATGGAGGTGAGGAAGAACACACATTATTACAGAAAAGCCTCTTTTAACACTTCAGGTAGCATTATGTCCTAAACATATTGTTTAGTTATTTTTAATAATGTTACTATTTTCTTGCAGTTGCTGTAGCGGTTACGTGGGCTAACAGAGTAATCCCCTCAGTGGCTTGGATGATTCCTACAGCTGTGGCTATTTCGATATTTGGTGCCCTCAACAGCAGCGTGTTTACACTTGGACGGTTAAGCTACGCCGGGAGTCAATCTGGACATTTGCCCAGCATAATATCCATGCTTAACATCCAGTACTGCACTCCAGCACCTGCCATGATTTTCTCAACTATTATTGCATCCATTTTTATTATCCCATCAGATCTAATCACTTTAACCAACTATTTTAGTTTCTCCATTTGGCTCATGACTGGATTAACGTGCACCAGCCTGATAGTCCTCCGATACCGAGAACCTGATCTTCACAGACCATACAAGGTGAGAACGAAGTAATGAAAATGAGTTACAAAGCTGTACAACAGCAACGTGTTATGGATTTATGGGGATACTGCAATCTCACATGTGCAAATAAACACCATGGCCACTTTGTTCCCATACTTAAGCCAGTTTAGTTTCATTGGTTTCAATGGGACATTTGAAGCTGTATTATGCTTAGTCAAAATATTGAGTCCATCTTGGAAATAATCCTTCAAGTGGTGCAGACAGAGTCCTTTTACTGATAGTAATAACCACAGATGTCACAAATCAAATCTGGTAACTTCTGCAGGCAAAACATCTGCTCTGTCATCAAACCGTGACCCTTCTACCAATTTATATTTTTCTAAATGTTTAAGATGACGTGGCTTGCATAAACCATCAGGCCTCAAAATTCGAGGTGAGATTATGTAGAAAAAAACCTATGAAATTATGGAGGGAGGAAATTTCTTCTTTACCCTCATCAATTAGGATATTTAGGCACTATGAACATCTAACAACGGAGGACTTGTAGATGGAGTTGTTGGTCCCATCCTTCTCACCTTGACTATGAAGAAGGTCAGAAGGGAGATTGTACCATTAATTTATTTAAATGTAGTTACATCTCCATATGTTCCCAAACTGTAACTTGAGCTGATGCTGTGCTCTCTTCAGACCTTCATATTTAGTACAGGATAGTTATGTTGGGCATGCATGGATGACTCTTGCTGGGAACAAGCAGCAAAGGCTTTTGAAGGGAAATGAGGGGAAATTGTGAAGGAACACCATCTAGAATCAGGAAAATGCACTTGGCATACACTTTGTAATCTATTCAAGTAGAATATTTACTTTTGTATGCTTTTAATTATGGGCAGTCCTCAAGTTACGGACAAGATATGGTCTGTAGGTTTTGCTCTTAAGTTGAATTTCTTTGCAAGTTGGAACAGGTACATTTTAAAGTGTAATTCCATAAATATATATATATATAGCTTTGGATAGCACAGGGAAGGGTTAACACCCCTGTGATGTTTCTTTTGCTGACTGTGCCCCTGTTCAGAAGATTTATCCTCATTTTCAGTCTGTGATCAGATTAGAAAAACTCGCATTTTGTGGAAACAAGGATTGGTAAGAAAACTTCAGTGGAGACACCTTTTCTCTATGATAACTCTTTCAGGAGTGAATTTTTCTTCTGAGGGGTAGATTTCTCTCACTTCCTGTTGTCTCATCCCCATTCTTAACTATAGTCGTTTGTAACAAATGTTTGTAACTCAGGGACTGCCTGTATATTGATTTTAAGTTGTGAGCTCCTCTGGATCCCAATCTTGGAGGAAAAGCAGGATAAATAAATAAATAAATAAATAAATAAATAAATAATAGAAGATAGCAGCTTCCATTATTATTTTGGCAGGCTTTGTTCTGATCTGTATGCATTCCTTCCAGTATTTTAGTGAAGTAGGCTTGTGGCTTTTTGGGGTTGTCACTCCAAGAACTGCCCAGCCAGCAAATGAAAAGAGAGAATCTTCCACTTGGATGCATTATGTAGATGTTGAAATCTATTGGTGCAAGTCAGAAATCCATTCACTCTCTATTTTCTTTCCTTCACCGAAAACCTTCACTTCTAGCTCATCATTTCAGTGACTGGATCCAAGAAAGATAAAAATAATGTGTTAATGCCTATCCACCTAATCATGCCTTCCTTATGCAGAGGATTCATGAGCTTTAAAAACAGCTGTCATAATTCTATGATTTCACTGAAAATTTGAAAGAATGTGCATGTAAAGCTGGAGGTGGTTGTTTTTGAAAAATGATTATAAAGGTCTGTCTATGAAACATGACAAAATGACTAACAGAGACTAAACATAAGTACCTACAAGGAATAAAGAAAAAGTGTACAAGAGGTAGGCGTGGATCCTGAGTAGTGAGAAAACCTGTTGACATTATTCTTTACTAAGAGGCACAGTGGGGAAATCTTGGACATAGGTAGTGCAGATAGCAACAACATGAAGTAAAACCTGCAGAATTGGCAGCTGACTGTAATAAATGTGTTCGTAAGTGATGCTAAGGGTCATATGTTGGCTGGGAGATTCTGGGATCTCTCTCTCTCTCTCTCTCTCTCTCTCTCTCTCTCTCTCTCTCTATATATATATATATATATATGAAACTTTTATCAAATTTTGCTTCCATGTAAGTGGATATAAGAATTCAGCCCAAGCCTCACATTTTAAGAAACAATTCTATTACTCTTTATACAGTCTCTAGGGACTGCAAGTGATAATTAAGTACTCAGAATATCTGGAGGAAATGGTTTGTATCGTGTTGTTCAGGAGAGAGTCTGCCTTGAGCTGTTTCAGTCCCTGTCACTGATATCCAAAAATAGATTTCTGAAAGCACAAGCAACATCTGTATCCATATATATATATACACACACACACACACACACACATATGCTCAACGCCTATTTCTTAAACTAACAGACTAGCTACAAGAAAATCCATTTATACATGAAGAACAGGGAGAGTTAAGAAGTGGGTATAGGCACCATAGAGCAATGCTTCACACTAAGTCACATTATGAGGAAATACGCTAAGGAAAACAACAAACATATCTTTGCTGGGTTTATTGATCTTTCTGCAGCTTTCAATTCCATTAGCAGAAATAGATCATAGGGGAAGTAACGGAATTCTGATATTTATTTATTTATCGTGTCAGGAGGAACCAGACATTTGTATTACATTTTTAACAAAACAAACAAACAAACAAACAGACAAAACACAAAGTTTGCAAGCTCGGTAGTTGATTAAATGTCCTTTGACCAGTATCTGGCTGCTTGGAGTGCCTCTGGTGTTGCCGCAAGGAGGTCCTCCATTTTGCATGTAGCTGGGCTCAGGTTGCATTGCAGCAGGTGGTCAGTGGTTTGCTCTTCTCCACACTCGCATGTCGTGGATTCCACTTTGTAGCCCCATTTCTTAAGATTGGCTCTGCATCTCGTGGTGCCAGAGCGCAGTCTGTGCAGCGCCTTCCAAGTTGCCCAGTTTTCTGTGTGGCCAGGGGGGAGTCTCTCATTTGGTATCAGCCATTGATTGAGGTTCTGGGTTTGAGCCTGCCACTTTTGGATTCTCACTTGTTGGGATGTTCCAGTGAGTGTCTCTGTAGATCTTAGAAAACTATTTCTTGATTTAAGTCATTGACGTGCTGGCTGATACCCCAACAAGGGATGAGCTGGAGATGTCACTGCCTTGGTCCTTTCACTATTGGCTGCTACTTCCCGGCGGATGTCAGGTGGTGCAATACCGGCTAGACAGTGTAGTTTCTCCAGTGGTGTAGGGCGCAGACACCCCCGCAGGCATGTCTCATTAAGAGCCACATCCACTGTTTTAGCATGGTGAGATGTGTTCCACACTGGGCATGCATACTCAGCAGCAGAGTAGCATAGCGCAAGGGCAGATGTCTTCACTGAGTCTGGTTGTGATCCCCAGGTTGTGCCAGTCAGCTTTCGTATGATATTGTTTCTAGTACCCACCTTTTGCTTGATATTCAAGCAAAATACCATAGAGACTCAAAGGGCTAATTTGACACACACACCCCAATTGTATGTGTAGTTATAGATAATTCATATTGTTTTTGCTCTTTGTGTGAACATGATGATGGCCTATGTTTGGTGTCTTTTGTTCCTTGTTTGCTCTGAGGGTACTCTTCTGTGCATTTTGTGCCTTTTTGTCAATCCTTGTATAGTAAAACTATTTGATTGATATATAAAAATATTTTTGTTTCCTTAAATGATTGTTTCATATAGTTGACTTTTGAATTCTCAAAATGTGTGTTATATATTTTGCAGGTTTTTTTACCAGTTGCCTTCGGGATGGTGGCAGTTTCACTGTTCTTAGTTTTAGCGCCTGTCGTCTGGTCTCCAAAGATGCAGTATGTATATGCATTCCTTTTCATGGTTGGCGGACTTCTCTTATATCTGCCTTTTGTACATTTTAAAATACATTTTGGATTTTTTGACAAAATTACCTGCTGCCTGCAGTTGCTGCTGGAGGTTTCACCTGCTGATAGCAAATCCAACTAATGGCAAAAGTGCATGTTTTGGAGAGTTAATTGGAAATGAACAGTATTTGGATCCAGCATAGTGTCAGTTTAATATGGCATTTCTGGCAGCTCCCTCCAGCTGCCCAAAAGTAGATCTCCTTTGAGTCATCTTCTGGATCCAAGATAAAAGTCTTTGTTCATTAATTGATTAGATCAATCAATCCATTTCCTAGTCATTCAGATGTGACCGAAGGAAACCATGTTATCTGTTATGGGCCTCTATGGTGGAAAAATTAGATAGCAAAATATATGTTCAGCTGCACTGATCTTTTCTCTCTGATTCTTTTTTTTTAACTTCCCTCCAGTTCTTTCCCTTTGTCTTCCCATCTTCTCTAAATTTAGACTGTAAGTTCCTTGGGGATAGGGGCTCTTATGCTGCTGTTATGTGAAAAGGCTACAGCTATACCAACAACTTTGCCTAAGTAAGTTAACTACATCACTCATAGTTTTGCTTATTAAATGTTATGCCCAACTGTGCTGATTTAGTACCATTTTTCATCTCCATTCTTCCACTTTTCTCCAAATCAAAGGAATTCTTGGGAAATCTCCAGTTGTTTTACAACTTGAAGTGGGACTGCTGCTTGGAGACTTCTTGAAATAGTATCTCATTATGAAATAAGGTGCATACACAGCACTGTTCTGTGCGTGTTTACTCAAAAATATCTCCCACTGGGGTCAAAAGGGTTTGTACTCAGGTAAATATGCATAAAATTGCAGTCAGAATGATCTTGTGAAAGAGAAATATATACTCTGTTCTCAGATGGCCATTTTAAATAAACAGATCAGTATTATTCTTAGTGCATTCAATATACAGTTTAAATGTTCCATGTGCATGTGAATGAGCTATTCGTAGAACCCTAAATGTAGAGTTTGTTTCCAAAGGGTTTCAAATCCATCTGAAATGAAATCCATAAATAGTCCATGTACTTCAATCATAATATTGGCAAACTAATGTTATATGTGTACATAAACAAGAGCTGAGTTCCACCTGAGTTTCATACAACAACTTCTATCACGGGGTACTTGTAAGAGCCATCACCAGGAAAAAAAACAACAATTAAAATGGTCGTGCAAATCTATTGTAATGGTTTGACAGGATGTCATATTGAAGATGGAGCCTGTTTGTTTTCTGCTGCTTCAGAGACTTCATAGAACAATGCAATCAAATGACAGTAAAACTCTCATATCTACAAGGATTACATTCCTGGCAAGACTTCTGTTACCTGTAGATGATATTATTATTATTATTATTATTATTATTATTATTATTATTATTATTATTATTATTCCCCGCTTTGCTCCCAAAGGGGACTCATGATTGAACACAATTATTTTATCTGGTTTCTGCTCCTGGCATACTATAGAGCCACCCTGGAAGATTTATTCTGCAATATGCTTTACAATATTACAATATTGCTAGGTCTGGAAATTACTACAATATTGCTAGGTCTGTAGCAAGATTTGTTCAGACAGGGTTTGCAAGTCACACAATCCTGAGATTGTGTGACTTGTCCAAGGTCATCCTTCCTAAATTGCAGATGTCATGTTGCCATGGATTTAAAATTGGGCCATTGTTCTAGAATATGTAATCTTAAAGGGGTCCATATATATGTATTAGGTATTCACAGAAAACAATTCAATGATAGGTATGTGTGTTAAAAAGATGTGTGTGTATGTTTGTAAATTAACACTGGCTTGTTCTAGACTGAAAAGAGTTACCAAAGTACTGAAACTATTTTGAGATTATAGTTCAGTACCCTGGATGGCTCATTTACATCCCCAAAGAAAAATGAAGAGGACTCGCAGCTCCCAACACAAAATTGACTATCTGCTTCTAGGAAATATCAATGGGAATTCATTAACAATTGGAACAGTATTACACAGAGGATAGAAAGTACTTTTTAAAACAGACTAGTTACAATTGCAGCCCCCAATACAATTTCAGTTCATTATTATTATAGTTAGATCTTAAAAGTAATCTTTAAACTTTCACTTTGATTGGTAATAAATAAAGGAATTATTTTTAGTTGCTTTTAAAAAATCAAAATGCGAAGTGTGTTCTATACTAATGTCTCTTTTTTATCATGGCACTTTAAGAAGCATGATGTGATTCCAGAATTGTAATAACTCTTAAGTATGCTTCACCTTTGAAAATGTAAATAGTTACAAACAACTCATTATGGTCAGACCTCCATATTCTCCAGGATGGGGCACAGGACCCCTTTAATTCCTTTCCAGAACTCCTTTCCAGGAATCACAGGATCATCCAGTGCACTCAGTGATCATTTTGTGTGTGTGTGGAAGTTGACCATAGATGAATGCTGGAGCAACTCAAGATCAAATCTACAAATAATTAAATCTACCCAAATAATGGGGAGGGACAACTATATTTGGAATGTGTTACTTCTGGACTGAGTCATTATGGAATTGCAGGATCCAGTGCACACCTTCTGTCTCACATGTAGTTCATTAATAGGATGCTGGAAACCCAGGCTGACCTGAGGCCCTTTGCTGTCTGAGGCAGGAAGAACCATTGTTTCCCATTGTTTCCAAGCCAAGGTGCATAATACTCACATCTGACCAAGTTATTTTGCATCTGAACACACACAGACACAAACACACATGTTTCCTTCTATGATTTTTTTTTCGTGTCAGGAGCGACTTGAGAAACTGTAAGTCGCTTTGGGTGTGAGAGAGTTGGCTGTCTGCAAGGATGTTGCCCAGGAGATGCCCAGATGTTTTACCATCCTGTGGGAGGCTTCCCTCATGTCCCTGCATGGGGAGCTGGAGCTGACAGAGGGAGCTCAACCCATTCTCCCCGGATTCAAAAAGCTGACCTGTCAGTCAGCAATCCTGCTGGCACAAGGGTTTCACCCATTGTGCCACCAGGGGCTCCTTCTATGATAATAAAAGCACAATAAGTGATAACTTCCTATATTTTCATGTCACTCAAAATCTGATGCCCAAGCCAGCCATCTCTCTCTAATACAAGGTCTAACCTTGCTTTTCTCTATATCAATTAAGATACAGGCAGTTTTAGTCCCCCTTTCAAGAGTCTAATCTATGGAATTTGCCTTTTTCACAATTCCTGCACAGATGAAATGCATCTACACTGTATAATTAATGCAGTTTGACACTACTGGAACTGCTATGGCTCCATGCTATGGAATACTGGGATTTGTACTTTAGTGAGGCTTCAACACTTTTTGACAGAGAAGGCTAAAGACCTTGCAGAACTACAACTCATATGATTCCATAGCATCGAGCTACACAAGTGAAGTGAAGATGGTGCCAAGCTGCATTAATTCTAAAGTGTAGATGCAGCCTTAGTCACCATTTTCCCTGGCTGCTCCACTATGACCTCAAGATCTATTTTCTGAGCAATCACCTGCAGTTGTGGATATAATCCCCATCATGTTTGAAACGATCTTCACTGAACTTCATTGGTCATTTTGCTGTCATTTTCTTATCCTTTCATCAGTTGTGAAGAATGTTCTCAATGATTTTCTGATGGCCTCAATTTGAACCATTCCACTCCACGGTCCAGGTTATAAAGATGGCATCAATAAATATATTTTGCTAAATCCTCAGATATACGACTTTGCTCCCCTGCAATTTTAACTTGAACCAGCACTTTAAAAGAATCTATAGAAACTGATCTCCATTCACACTAAGTGCATTGCTTTTCATTGTTTTTCCCCACACACTATTTCAGTTCAACGACTAATTGGATATTTGCCTGAGATCAATAACACACAACTCAGAGCTAGAAATTCTTATTCAATCTAAGCAGAGAAATAATACACTTTTCTGGAACAAAACATTTGAACATGGAACATAGGTGATTCATTACAGTGGGATTTCTTTGGTGCATTATAAAAACGGAGCACATCTTTTTTTTTTGACCTAAACCAAGGAGGGCCAACGGTGGACTTTCAGATGTCTTTGGGATGCAACTCCCATCATAAAATATGAAGGCTTTTATATAGAAACCTTTCATAAAGAAAACCTTTCCTACATGGAAAATGTCTGCCTGTCAGTCTAGTGACCTTTTTAAACATGCTGCTTAAATTGCTCTTGCAATGAGATGCTTCCACCTTTCTTCTGCTTCAATCCACGAGACATTTTCAAGGGAATATATGATGAGAGGCAATATAGGCAAGTCCCTCTTGTTTCAAGAAACCAACCCTTTTGATGTACATTTTAAATTACAGATCAAGCAACAACTCTGTCCATGTAAGGGACACCATATGCAGTTATATTCTCTCTATATATATATCTCTTTCTCTCTGGGTGTCTTGCAACTGACAGTTGCAGGCAATTTTCTGGTCTGCCTTCTCAAAAATTCAGATCCCTGCTGATGAACCTTCTCCGGGGAATTGAGAATTGCATTTCCACAAATATATGCCTCTCCTTTGCTTGTGAGAGTTGAAAGCAAAGGGAAATATAGACTGTGGTTTGAAGTCAGGGTTAAAACAAACAATAAGCCTCTGTGCGCATGTGTCAACACAATTTTAATATGCTCATTAACTTCTATTCAGACTTTTCCAAGATTATGTGGGATTTGTTATGGATTACGAATAATAGCTGTCAATCTGCTTTCCCCTCAAGCTACTGGGAATTAAATGCTATACAACTCACAGTGAAACTGCTGGCTGAAGAATGGTCATGCTTAATAAGGAAAAGAGGAAAGAGCCCTGAAGGAAAGAAACTTGAGAGAGCTTTTCTATTTTGGAATGCATGACTTTTGCTTTCACACTGTGAGCCGCAAGAGGGGACACATTTCTGAAAGGTTGCGCATTCCCATAAATAGAATTGAGTGCTCCTCCAGATGTTGGACTGCAGATCCCATAAGTTTTAGCCAGCATAGCCAATGGTGATGGGAATTACAATTCAATATCACCCAGAGGGATACATATCTCTCATTCTTGCTTTTAGGGAAGATGTAAATAGGCTTTTTCAGGTGCAGATGAGGAAATG